ATATAAATACGGAGGCTCTCGTTTTCACAAGATTCACTCGCGCATTTCTCTCTTTCGCATCTCTTTCTCTCTCGCATGCACGCTTTCTTTCTCACTATTTCATGCGCGCGCTTCCCTCCCTGTCTCACTTTCGCAGAGACATTGGTTCTTTAAATTTGGAATTCATCACTAGTAATATACCCTAATCACGGAATTTACTGTGTAAGTGTTCACGTGTTGTTGTTGTATGTGTGCATGTATGTATGTTTTACGTGTGTGTCTCGCATGTGTCGTAATATGTTCCATCAAGAGATCATGCTTACAAACGATACCGTCGATGAAAATGAAAAAAAAATACATAAGAGACACTAGCTTCGTAAGCGTTCCAATAACACGAAGATTCGTTCTCTTTCCACGTGAAAGCATACACACTTGGAGGACAACGGGGGGTGTGTCCTTTTCCTACGACTTTTTGTTCAGCCGTCGCGCTTTACTCTCTCTCATTCTCTCTCTCTCTCTCTCTCTCTTTCAACACTCTGTCCTTTTCCTTTCTCTCGATCGTGCATTCCCACGCCTCATTCTCTCCTTCTCGCCCCCGGTAGAGCACTTTCATTCGCTCGTCTTTCTCGCCACTGTGTATATATAAATGTGTAACGTCTGATTGTTCGACGATTACTTGCACTGGCAAGCTTACAAAAGGAACAATACTCTCGGCGCGTACCCAGTGGGGAAGATACAGATAAATAACGAGAGAGGAAATCCACAAAGAGTTAATGGTTTTCTTTTTTTTTTTTTTAGTTCTTATCTCCGTTTAAGCGTATTACTTCAAGACATCCGACGGCCAAATAACAGCGTGATACATATACAGGTGTGATAGAAGCACGACGTAACGCTTTTGCTCGTGTTACTTTTTTTTTTCTCTTTTTTTCATTTTTATATATAAACCATGACACGCTCGCTCTCTCCCTCTCTCGCTCGCTTTCGTTTTCATTTTCTAAGTACATCGAACGTTTCGTCGTCGGATGTGCTTGGCCATTAAATATTGGATACAACGTGTACGGGCACTCACGGTACGCTAACACGGTACATTGGTATGGCTCGGCAGTGATCCGCAACCGTTGGCCAGACTAGTAGAAGTTCGGACCTTCGGACACGACAAAATTAACGCTCGCTGTCTCGAACGCGCAGACGAGTGACAGTCTGTCGTTATATACCGCTCCTTAATATACTCCTATAAGAAGAAAACCATCTATGCTGACTAGCCGATTAAACAGAGTCTTCTTAAATTCGTTTAATAATTTCGTGAGTTGAGCGGATACATTTTGTGTTTTGTTACAAATTCGTAATTGGTCGTTAAGTTTAGATTGAATATTCTAGGAGGAAAGAACCGTACAACACATCCTACTATCACGTCTAATCTGTTCCTTCCTTTAATTTTTTTATCAGTCGACGATTATCTAACGGGATGCAATGACATCGCAACAGTTTCTTCGGTCATTATGATTATTGCCTTTTATCAGTTAAACGGTATATTTACTCCTGTCTCTACTGATATACTTATGGCGATACATGTGTTTACTTTCAAATAGTAACTTTTTTGTACATCTATGCGTAATACAACGTGTTACTGGTAATATTTAGAGATATGAACATTTCGTCTTCTTCGTTTCTCTTTTTCTTTTAGAAAACCTATCTCTCTTCTTCGCTCTTCTTTTCTCTCCCTCTCTCTCTCTCTCTCTCTCTCTCTCTCTCTCTCTCTGTATAACTTCATGTTTTCGGTATAAACAATTAGCAAAGAATAAAAGGACGTTTGTCGTTTTTTGTTTTGTGGAAACGTTCGTACCTTTGTGAGACACGTTCGTCGTTCACACAAGGACGTCGTTAATCTTAATATCTACATTACATCGAGCGTTTAATTACGTAACATGTACCGTCAGAAGATTTCATCTACTTGCGAAAATACAAAGAACTTGAGATTATCAGGTGTAATTCAATCGTTTTATTGTTTGATCAGTCTGCAAATAAACAAACAATACAAGTTTCTTTTTTTTCTTTCTTTTTTCCTTTTGATTCGCGACACAAGTTTTCTCGAGGCAAAACGGAATCGTGGAATTCGTCTAGAGTGTGTGTAATTTTCGTCGGTGTTGCGACGAGCGAATGTTGCAAATTTGTAACAAAACGTCGCTACCGTTAACAACACTTGCGAAACGTTCTTAGTTGCTCGTTTAATCGGCACGGCTGACAAGATCCTTTTCTTCTTCGCCTTCGGCGCGCATTTTCGCTCGTTAAGTATCTCTTCATTGGTTGGGTGCATTTTATTTATTTATTTATTTTTATTTTTCCGAGAACGTCCGCAGGGATTGAAATATATCACGTTGCAACGCTCTCCTTCTCGCAAGAACTTCGTGGAACGAACATATTAAATAAGCCCTCGACAAAGTTCTCCACAAAGTTCCACACTAATTGTATAACTACGTCACCGTACAGTTTTACATTCCTTACTTTCCTTTTTTTTTCTTTCGTTTCTCTTTCGACTTCAATTCAATATCTGCTCGCAATCGATCTAGCAAACAACGACTCGTTCGAAGGAAATTCTGTTCTGCAACGTTAAACAGAGACGGTAAAAGTTCCTTTTTTTTTTTGTTTTTTATTGCTTTAAAATCAAACCTATATTGATGGATATTCAATTACAGGCATACTTTGGTTCTCTTTTTACGTTACACTTCTAATAATTATCCTCGTTTAACACGCGTGGTCTAAAGAATAAAAAAGTTTTCTCCGAAATGAACCGATCCTCTCGTAGACGATAAACATTCCGATTCAAGAAAGTCTCCCGAATCTTCGTGTATTTTCTTTTTCTTTCTTTTGTTGATAGAACACGGATCAACTGTATCTATATACACGTATGTATAGTTCGTTGATCTACGTTCTAGTGGATTTTCACGGTAGACGTTAGAATCTACAGAGGAAAAATTTTTTTTAACTCTTTCTTCTTCTTTTTTTCTGTTTATTTGTTTCTTTCGATATGTTATGTAAAATGTAATTCCAAATGATTTCTGCGACGTGTAGATTTTTCACGTGATTATCACACGAAAGGCATGAAACCGAAATCGATACCTTCTTAGAATTACTGATCATTTTCATTTCTCCCCTCTATTTCTCTCTCTATCTCATTGGGGACGTAATAGATGAACAATTCGAACAATCACACTTCGAGGTGTTACGAAGCTCGTTTAAATGATATGCGATACAACTGAAAAACACTCGATACAAAGTATGTGCAGCTTCGTAGCAAAATAGTTCTCGATATATATATATGTATATATACTTTGTTCTTTTTTCTTGTATGTACAGTTGGTGTAATTATGTCGTATATAATCGTGTACTTATATGGAACAACGACAGGCAGTGTAGGCGTAAAAAATCGTTGCGACAAAATAAAATTAGTTAAAAATCGTTAACTAAAATATAAACGGTGTGTGCAGTTCGGCACGATTACTCGCAGCTACTTACAGAGATAATAGCGTTAATACTGTTATACTTCGTGTGACGTACGTCAAAAAAAAGAAAAAAACGAAAAAAACAGACAAAAGAGGAAAAAAGCACACAAAACATCATTTTGAATGAAAAGAGGTGGTTCTCGTGGTGTACGTGTCGCGCAAATCTCGGATTCACCAGCCCGATCGTTTAAAAAGGCGAAACGAAAAACAAGGAAAAGAAGAAAAAAGAGGAAAAGAGAAGAAGTGACTTGAAGAAAACGTCGTCCTACTCTGAAATGGTGCTTGGAACTGATCGGAACAAGCGTTAACATGAAACGTGTTTATCCTTTCAGTTTCATGCCTTTCCAGTCGATCAGACTTCACAAGTGTCACGTGTGTGTGTGTCTGTATATATGTGTACATGTATGTGTGTGTCTGTATATATGTGTACGTGTGTGCGCGTGTATGTGTGTGTATGTATGTACGTGTACTGTTAATAAACCTCGATACAAGCAGGAGTACGCTACGCTCGCGTTTTATTTTATTTTCACACGTGTGTGTGTGTCTGTATATATGTGTACATGTATGTGTGTGTCTGTATATATGTGTACGTGTATGTGTGTGTATGTATGTATGTATGTGTACTGTTAATAAACCTCGATACAAGCAGGAGTACGCTACGCTCGCGTTTTATTTTATTTTCTTTGTTTTGTTTTTTTTTTTGCGGTTTTTTCTGTTTATCCAGGACTGATTTTGAGTAAAATGAGATCTCAGCTTCAATTCTTTTTACGTTTTAATAGACGTATCGTAACACATTTCGCAAAACGACGGTGTGTTTGAAAGAGCGCCACCGCGGTACAAGATGAGAGAGTCGTAGGCACAAACACGTTCTTTCACCATCGGCACGTCAATTCCTTTACTCTTTAACACGTGTTATTAATACAGCTGGACCAGCGATTTCTTTTCTTTTCTTTTTTTGACCGGCGCCTGAACGGCCACAGAAGCCGACAGCATTCACTGTCCTCGATCAGCAGTGACAACAAAGTCTTACAGTGTTTAATACGGTAACATCGACAATTGATAACGATGTTGTGTTCCATCTTTAAACGCAGATCGTACACGATATGATAATGATAATCATAGTCAATAAAAAGAAGAAGGGCAAAGTTAATCGTGATAATAGTAATGATAATAATAGTAATAATAGCAGTAATAATGATGGCTGTGTGGTGGTTTGTAAATTGGCGGCGTGTCATCGTGACGATGGTGTGCAGCACCGAATCTTGAGAAGCGGATCGACTTCCGGCACTCGGCAAAGGTAACGGCCTCCCTTTTCTTCCGGATCGCCTGCAGCTTCTCTCCTCAACGGTCCCGTCGCGCGTCTCTCTTCTTTTCTTCTTCTTCACCTCCTTCTCCTCCACCTCCTCCTCCTCCCCCTCCTTGTTCTCCTCCTCCTCCTCCTTATCATCATCATCATCATCATCATCATCATCTTCCCTTTCGTTTCGTCGTTTTCTCTATCCGCGATTCTCGCACTGGCCGCGACGACGACGACACGTTTCTTCCCCCCTCCCCCGAAAAAACTTCATCTGCACTCGTTTACACGCGCACTGTATTGCCCCCCCGTAGATTGACGATAACGGACAGTCACTTTTGCCTTCCGCTTTTCTTCTTCTTCCGCTTGAAGAAGCAACAGCATCTGCAAATAAACCAAACACTAATAGGACTTAGAGTCGTCTTCTTTTGATCGTCTTACGCTATGACACCAACATGCAGCAACGACAACGCATTCCAAAGCGGCGACAAATCAGAGCTTGTTTCGTTTCTTTTTTTTTTTTTTGTTTTTTTTTTCTCGCAAACCAATTTTCTTTTGCTAGAGTGGCTAGAAGTGGGTGGTAGACATTGTCCCCTGGACGATGCACGTTCGAATATGCACGCGTGAGTCACTTGGTGAAGAGAAAACAATAACAGGAGGGGAAGGGAAGAAGAAGGTCCGAAATGGTTACCAGTCATACTGTTTGATTAGTAAATGGAAAATGTGTCATCGATGTCCCTCGTTCAAAGTACATCGTCTTTTCTCGTGTTGTGTATACAATGAACAAGCGTAAAAGATTATCAACGTAACAAGAAAATTTTAATACAACGATAGTAATATATGCGTGTGATCGAGTAAAGAATGAAAATTATCGGATATTGTATTTTGCCTTGATGTTGGACAAAAGAAAATTCTGTAACGGCCACTTGTGTCGGATTAATAAACCAAGTTCAGGGATCAGTCTAGGATCGACAGTGGACGTAGGAGGATTTGAACTTCGGCCAAGGATCTTCCCGCATCCACGACAATGCTTAATTGTCGGCAAACATTTCTTTCTGAAATCGGACAGACAGGAGTGTTTAACATAGTATCATGCAGGATGGTAAGTAAGGAAGAGTAACTAACGAGGGAACATCCCCAAAAGGTAATCAATTTTGATGAAATTTTCCTATGTCATAGATCTCGAAAAAATACACCACGCACATATTTTTCATCGAAAATCGTCCACAGTGAAGAGGAGAAAATCGCTCTCAAAGTTTCAAAGTTTTGGGGCAATAAATATTAAGTCTAATATCTCGAAAACTATGAGAGATGGAGGAATAGCGTAAATAGAGAAATTTTCTATTTTTTAACGACAAATATAAAAAACAAAAGATAAATCATTTTTACCAAATATGGTCGTCACCCTAATCTCTGAAGACGATTTCTAGCCCCCCAGCGTGGACGATTGGCGATAAAAAAAAAATAATACCTGTCGAATGTTTTTTAGAGAACTATAATATACTATAATTTCATCGAAATCGATGGTGTTTATTTCAGGACGTTCTCTTTGTTACTACAGAAAGTTGTACCACGTGTACAAAGATTTGCGACTGTTTCACTACCAGTACAATTGCTACCAAATTCTCTACAGTATTAGTGTATATACTCTGTTCGAAGATAACTTATTCGCATCCACGGTGTGTAAACAGACCTCTCTAATCAGTCACGTGTATGCATGCACTATTTACAAAAGTGTTTTTCGTTACGAACATAATCTACGTGTTGTTTATCGTAGTGAGAATACATTAGTCTACTTCAGTTATCGCAACATAAACGAGGAAGAAAATCGTAATACTAACTTGGTTTCGTCGACCATGTCCACTTCTTGAGGCGCTGTAATTGGAGTATTCGAGTGTCCCGCAGTTGGATCATCATTGGCTAGTTCTCCGTTCGTCGAAGACACCACCTGAATAACCGTAACATCATTATCATACAAAGCTGTCACACGTAAACAAACATAACAACATCGAATCGTATATATAAAAAGCGGAATATCAAAGGAAATTTCGTATGTACTATAAACGTGAAGTAATACACATAGAAGCTAACGACTATGCACTTATATACACGCGAATAAAAACACCTCTACACAAGAGGACTAATAGACGATAAATTTACGTGAAACAAGCGGCGGTTTATATTCATGAGGCATTTGTTAACACAAACGAAGTGAAATTCTAGAAGAAGAAAAAACAACATGGTACAATCTAATCAACACTGTTAAACAAGTTACTCGTGAAAAACACAACTGGTCAGTTACGCGTTCGTCGAACACTGGAAACACACCAAACCCGAGAGACGAAGAGAGTGAAATTAAAAAAAGGAAAAAGAAAAAGAAGAAAGAACGCGAGATTACGACTGGCAACTTGGATTAGTGAGGTAGTAACCTTTAAGAATTAGAGAGGGTGTGAATCGATCAACGAAACAAACGTCCGCATGCGGCAACAAACCAATTTGCTTAGACTTCAAAACTGACCATAACCCGTGGTTGCTTTGTCTAGAAATAGAGCGAACGGTTTACTTCGCAGACGTGTCTGCACGTCGCCGTCTCGGGCTAAGAAAAGTGTGGAGAACGAAAGGGGGAACGTGGTAGGTGAGACATTGTTCGGGACATTTTGGGATACGTTTGTCTCTTCCCTATATGTATTAGAACGTAAACATTTACTTGTCGCCGTCGTCACGAGATAAATGAAATTTATAAACACAGGACATAAAAAAAAAAAGAAAAAAAGGAACATTTCTTTGGCTAAAAGACATTGAACAAGTTACGAATAACATATGAAACGTCCGATTTTGTTATTTTAATTTCTTAAACTGTTTTTTTTTCCCATCTTTGCAGATGTATTGTAAGTAGTTTAAATGGTTAGAATCGCGTTTTTTTTTCATGGTTTTAATCTTTTAACCCTTTGCACTCGAGTGGCGACCGAGGAGCGACATTATTGTTTACCATTTGGTAAATAATTAATCGAGGCCCTTTTAACCCTTCGCAGTCCTATGTCGAGTCAGACTCGACGTAAGAATTGTTGCCTTCAGATGTCGTATAACGATAAATTATAAATTATAATAAACCATTTTTTAATGCATTAATATTATACTGAAAGTTAGTATTTTATAACTAATATTACGTTGAAATATTGAAATAAAGGGAAACTACACGGTATTACCCGAGAGTGAGCAAATGAGTAAGGACTAACTGGACTATTTGGACCGCAAAGGGTTAAAGCTGATATTTTACGGAACAATAGGTCTATGGGCCTCTCGTATATGTCTAAGCAGTGAAACAGTTGGAAAGAACCAACTTCTATTGAAATGTATCGTAATTAAAATATATTTGTCAACGTATGTGTGATTTATTTCTATTATTATTAAAAAAATGTTATCAATTTTTAAAAGTAAGTAGCAAGATTTGCTGCTTCCCTGTAGGAAAAAGATCTTCGAGTGCGAAGGGTTAACATTTTCGTGCTTGAATGCACGGTTTTTTAAGTTTCCGTGATTCTGTACGAGTGGAAAAGTGGTTCAAATTTCTTAATTGAACTACGTGAAACCAGGTGAAACTATCACGAAGGCGAAGTGTCGTGCGGAATTTGAAGTAACGCGCCAGAAATTACGAATTGAACAGCCGGTGTTGGTCAGTCGAAGAGATTGACAATGGAAAATTTAAATTAAATGGAAAAACTTAATTACTTAAAATATGAAACCTTTTTATCGTTATTTATCATTTTTTTAAATCGTCTAGATCACTTCCGCGGCGAGAAAACCTTTACGAATGAAGCAAACATAAAAAATACCATCGAAGAATTTAATTTATCCATAGCAAAACGCCGACATTCCATGAAAATCGAATTAAAAAGCTTGTCACTCCTTTGCAAAAATGTGTAAATTCTAATAATTCCTATCTCAACCCTTCGAGGACAATCGTATATGCGTTGACAAAACACTATAAAACCAACCAACAAACTTATACGTTTCCAATCAATAAAAATAGTTGGAGTGGCCACGAACTCACGCGCAATACTTGAGGAAACCACAATTTTGCAATAATTCAATGAAAAAAGAAAAATTGAAACAGTGACCTAATTATATACGACACAAAATAATCAGTACTTCGACTTAAAACTTAGTTCTACGTCCGGAAAAGGTTAATTACTCAAATTTACTATAAATCTGTGATTGAAAATCGGACATTTCACGCGTTACAACCTAACGCTATTTATCAACCCAAAAACACAGGTGATCGATCGAACGCAGTTACGAAAAAGGTACAACAATAGAAAGAAGAAGAAAAAAAGAAGAAACGTGTGTTTAGGATAGATAAACGAAATATAGAGACGGGCACAATGGACGGTAGAGCAAAGGAATTCGCAAGATTCACTCACCTGCACAGAACCGTGCCTATCAGCGGGTGTCAATGTACCACCAGCTCCTGATTGCTTCACAGTATCTGGCCACGTGGTTCCCACCCCTTTACCGCCCCCGGCTCCCACCCCTGGACCTGTCACATCCTAAAGGGGGAAGCACTAGAGTCCAATTTTCAACGAGTTAGCCGATAAGAAAAAAATTAAAAAATACTTCAGCACTCGAATCTGCTTCCTAATTGTGAACATCGTTAATGTGATTTCTTATTTTTTTTCGTCTGTTTATCATCTGCTTGTCTGTCGTTCCGCTTAGCATATATTGTGTACAAGAGAAGTAACTTTCTCGATTGTTTGGTATACAACTCTTCGATACGTACAGCGACTCCCACTGATATTCAGACACTCTTTGGAACGGTATAACTTTTTCTTTTAAATTCGACCTAACGACTTGAATTTTTTTTGAGAAATTAGAAGGATTAGTATACTATACGTCGTTCAAAATTAGAGCAACCTCGCCCTCGGACCGGTTGCGTAGGTGGTTAAGTGGGGGTTTGGACGTTCTATACTCTGTTCAAAATGAGAGTAACCTCGCTTCGCGCATGGGGCGCGCCCAAGGCAGGGCTAGAACCACTAGAACAGAGCCGCTTAACTTCTTGCTCACGAGCAAATTTCCCCTTCCGAGGTTCCCCCACTATGCGGTACGAACACACAGAATGTGTAACGTAAACCAACGGCAGTCGCTGGAGTTGTGGTGGGAGGACTCCACGCGTTCTCCTCCCACCGCGCCGCAACTCGAGCGAGACCATCTCAGTCGCATAGTGGGGGAACCTCGGGAGGGGAAATTTGCTCGTGAGCAAGAAGTTAAGCGGCTTTGCACTGGGAACGTCCAAACCCCCACTTAACCACCTACGTTTTTCTCCGTCTCACCCTCTGCTACGCTCTCTGTCTATGCGCAGAACGGACAAGAATCGGTCATATCGGTCATAATAGTACAGTGGTTCTAGCCCTGGTTTAGGCACGTCCCATGCGCGAAGCGAGGTTACTCTCATTTTGAACAGAGTATAGATCAGAGGTCGGCAAACTGCGGCCCGCCATCAGTTTTTTTTATGGCCCGCGAGTTACGTACAGTTAAATGAAATATCCAAAAAGAAAGAATTCCATATTTCTCATTGGTAAATGTGTATTACAAATAAAGGATTTGTCATACACACATAATAATCTCAATTGTCTCTCTTGGACCACAAAGCCAAAAAATATCTAGTGTCTGGCCCTCCAGAAAAAAAGTTTGCCGACCCCTGTACTAGATGACGCGTGCAAAAAATCTGGAAAAAATTGCAATTTCTGCGAATCGTCAAGGAAATTGTAAAGGTCACTGTTTGCAACTTTTTTACCCGAGCTTGTAATGAAAATTTAAAACACGTTTTGTTGGAGAATTTTTGATGGAGAAACAAGCGACAGGCATCGAAAGATGTACGAATCTTCAGATTTATTACAGTTCTAGGCCGAAAGTCGCGAAACAGTGGGATTTTCACAATTTTTAACCGTTTGTAACTCGTAGCAACGTTAACCAATTTCGATGAAATTTTCACTACAAATTCAGGCAAACAAAAAAAAAGTTGTTAAACGTGACCTTTACAATTCTCTCCGCGATTTCCACGAATTATTAGGTGTACAAATTAGTTCGGCGCCTTTTCTCGCAAATTTTAATATTTATTTACAAAAGATCGAACACAAGTTTAATGTTAAAAAGAATCTCCATTATTTTGGACGATCTTCTTCCGTTTATCGAGTAACTGACGAATTCCGCCTCTGACAAATTGTGACTGTTTTCATTTGATACAGTCGTCAAGGCTTTGTGAAAAAAGGCACCGAATTAATTTCCACACCTGATACAATTTTTTCCAAATTTTTTCTACACGTCGTCTGAATAGTACACCAGTCCTTTCAACTTTTCCAAAAAAAACTCAAGTAGTTAGGTGCAATTTCACCCTATTGCGTTCTTCGTTTCGACTGTACACTTAAGACTTTTGGGTGAAAAAGGACCTAAGACCTTACGTGTAATAATTTTTATTTCCAACGCGACATACGAACGTAGACAATAGACGTTTAAAGTAATGTTAAGGAACGTAAACTTGATAACAGCAAAAATTACTACAAATAGGCCTGGCGACTTTTGGCCCTCGAGGCGAAGACATCTCTGGGTTTCTTCGTCCTCGAGGACAAGAGTATCGCCTCGGCAATGTAGGCCCGCGCCCCCACTTCCTGGGACTTTCCCAGGGGAAAAGGGGCTACTTAAGGGAGCCCCGAAAAAGGCACGAGGCTTTTCGTCGTGGACATTCTTACCGCGTGCATCGTGTCCCCTACACACTTTAAAAATAGTTTAAGCGTTGTCGGATTTAATTAAACATATTTTTGTTAAGCAACCTTAGCGTAACAATTATTTTTACACCGCGTCACTTCCAAAATATAAAAAGGCGGTGGGTCAAGAAAGACCCGGAGACCGCTCTAGGGTTAAAAGAAGTTATACTGTTCCAAAGAGTGTCCGAATATTAGCGGGAGTCACCGTACGCATCTACCTACGTCTAATGCACGTGTGATTTACCAATTACTCCGAACGATATTACACGACCATTTTCATATACTCAATACACACGAACTACGCAACTCTAGCTACGTTAATTATGTTCGTCGTGAAACGATAGAGACAAATAAACTAGGAGGATTGCCAACGGGATACTCGATAATACAGCTTCTTCTCTAATGCTCGCTTCTTCGCGCATGCTTCCGCAGAAATTTCCAAATGTGAAATTCAAATTGGTCGAACTTCTTCCGTCGTCGATGCCAAAAGTGACGACTATTTTTCTTTCTTTTTTCGAGGACAAAGAAACGTTTTATCTGTGCGAAGATTTTAGAGTCGCCATTGTGTACAATTCGACGCAACTACGAAATCTTCAGGTGTTTCTATCCGGACGATCTATCTCTTTCTATCTATCTAAGATAAGATAGACAGCATGCAGGAAGAAGCGAGAGAGGAACGGATTACAAATGTTTCTGATGGCTTACATAGTTGCCTTGCATTTCGATGTGAACCTCATCCAACATGAGGACATCTTCCTCGAAATCATCGTATTCCTATATCACCGATGATTTCCGTGTTTCGCAAAGAAACAGAATAGCTTGTTGTAATCGTTTTCTTTTTTTTCCATGACAAAAGCAACTATTCTGTGTCTGGCTTCGAGTGTTATACTCTCTGAACGTCAGTTCTGCCTTCTTTTTTTTTTCTTTTCAATCGACCTTTTCTTCCCCCGATATACAAACAGCTTTCGTGAAAGTTACAAGAAAATCAGAAGAAAAAAAAATGTATGTACGTCTATTTCGTTACCGATCTCAGGTGTATTACTCATGCTGTTATTTCGCAAAATAGCTAAGCTTCACACATCCATGCTAGTTTGTTTGTTTGTTCTTTTTTCTCGTTTTAATTTAATTTGAAAAAAGAAAAGAAGGAACGAAACGTAGAGAAGTATGTGCGTACCTTGTAAGGATGTCGATCGCGATTCGGCGACACGATAATCTCTTGTCCGGTCTGCAACGATCCCACAGGGGTAGACTGAAAAGGAAAACACAGATATTACACTCAGAGGAGTATTTCTTCGCTTTTCTTTACAAATATATTTACAGATATAAATGAACTTTTTCGTATAACGTACTTGGAGTCAGGTAAGAAACAATTAATCGACTGTAACATTGGTCATTATACTTTTTTTCTCTCGAATATTGCTCTTCGAACTTGTTCAGGTATAACTTTGAACGTTCTTAACAAAGCAATAATCCAACCTCTCACACACACACACACAATTTTATATATAATTAATATCGTCTGCGAACAGAAAGCACTTCTAATTAACTGGTAGAAAAAGAAGTATAATACATACTTATGCACAAACCGTTCTTTCTTCAACTACGAAAGAGGCACTCTACCCAAAGTGAAAGAGATAACGTAAATACAGATGAGAGATCTAAGCTGTTAAATGCTCTAGCAACGTTATTCCTACGAAAGATACGGAAAGCTTCTTAGGAAGAAGAAAGGGAGAAAAAGCGTTTAGCGATCGATACGCACTGCCGTAAATATATCGGCTGAAGAATCTTCACGGCGAGTGTAAATTAAATAAGTTGACAGAGTCGAGAGAGGAAGAGAAATTGCAAATGGGGGAAAGAAGAAGAAGAAGAAGAAGAAAAAGGTAGGTGTGCTCTGGCTAAGTGGCAAATACAATTTCTCGTGCATTTCTTATGGATTGCAAGATGCGAATCACGGTCGAGGGCATGATATCGTGTCTTCAAAGGAGGAATATAAGATTTTCACGCTCGACGAAATAAAAGTCGATAAGCTGCCAAGTAATCGCCTCTGTGCACTTTACGAGGCGATTCTCGTCGCAACCGCGGTGTGTATAAACCATCTTTTCATATTTTTCTCAAATTTCTTTTCGACACAAAGAAAGCACAATTTTTACGGTGCAGCGGAAAAAAAAGGAACTTTCCCCGTGAGATATTTGTGGAATATAGATAGCCTCGAGACTCGAACGAGGTGTCGAACAGGTGTGCGCCTGCGTACAGGTAATAAAACTCGTGGCTCGTGTAACACCGTTTATCACCCACCTTATCGGATTTAGTCTTTCCAACGTGAGAGGGAGGAGCCATCCTCAGTGCTCTAAGTTGGTCGAAGTTGGATGGCTAGAGATACATTTGGGGCAGCATGCAAACGTGAAAAATCAGTGAAACATGGCTATTTTCTTTTTTTCTTTCCTCGCTCTTGTTCTTTTTTTTTTGTACCAGAGAACGACGGAGAGACGACGTTGAAGGGAAGGAAATTGTACTCAGAGGACGAGTACTTACTTACCAAAAAGAGACGATATCTTGGAGTATCTAGCACGATATTTTATGTGTAACGTATAAATAGCTAAAACTACTATGTACAAAGAATATAATACGTATAGAGGCACGCGTTCGACGAGCCACTCGAATTCAAAGAAAAAAGAAAATATACACAGAGAGAAAGAGAAGATAATCGTGTGTTTACATCGATAAAAATCTTTTAATTTCCAATGTTAATATCTAAGAATAATGTTTTCGACATTGTGGTACAAGATTCTTTTCGTTCGTTAATCGTGAATGTGTGTGTATATATATATATATAGGGAATATCGAGAAAAAATAGAATGAGAAAATAATGAAAAAATAGGGAAGAAAAAAGAAGAAAAACTCCGCTATCTCGGCTTGATATCGACTCTTGGCGAGACACGTGTGCTTCGTCCTTGGGCATAATCGACCATCGTGCACAACTCTCCTATTATTTCTGTCTTCCGTTTCTTGCATGCATTGCGAAGAAGAGAAAGAGAAGAAAATGTGACGTGTAATACTCGGATCACTTAATCGTCAATGCATCACGCACCATCGTCTTGCCAGTCCAGTCGAACTCGCCGTCGTCGACGAAACCCCGCTTCTCGTAAAGGTCGTGGAAGAGGTTCCTCAGGTACTCGTAGTCAGGTGTCTCGAAGAAATCCAGCCTACGCACATATCGGAAGTACGTGGCCATTTCCTCAGGATGACCGTCGCAGAGGACCTCGATCGGTGTGTTCCGCTTCGTGTCGCCGATCTTCTGGTATCGTTCCTTCAGCGTGTCCGCTTTCAGACCTTGCCAGGGCAGGCTACCGCGAAGGAAGTACATGAACATGTGCCCTAACGCTTCCAGATCGTCTCTTCTGCTCTGTTCTGATTGTTAAAAAAAAAAAGAAGATCATTTTAAGTGGGGAATTTAAGGAATATTCTGGGACAGAAGAGATGTATCGAGCCCTTAACACGTTCCCTGCCACGTCGGTCATCTGTGATAGGAAACTGTTTCCTCGACGGGCTTCAAATGTTTAGAGTAGTTAAAAGAAAATTGATATCGTCGACTAAAAATTTGGAAAAATATAAAATAATAATAAAGCTACAATACTGTGCTTGGAATAATGAAAATTTTCGCGTGGTCCCCTGAGCAAAAGATGGAAATCTGGCGTGGCAGTCAACGTGTTAACATTTTAGGTCAAAAGTTAGGTCAATTTTTTACACCAAGAAACCTATATTACGACAATAATTAGTAATTACACGATAATACAATTAAATTTCGCTTAGTAATAATTTCAGTGTATAATGTAACTATTATACAGAAGAGGTACAGGATGTTGATTTTTTCGCATCGTCTTTCTCTTTATTTTTTACCGCACTTTTTTTTTCTAACTTTACCACATATCTTCTGTCTCCTTTGTTGACAATATTACGTCTTTGTTACATCCATCGTCGAAAAGTAACCAACATTTAAAAAATAATGAAAGGATGAAAATAATGTGTGATACTTGGGCGGCAGTTTGTGATTTAGAGGAAAAAAAAAATGAAGTATAACTATAACAATTACTACCATCGAGAAATCTCTTCGTATTCAAATTGTCATGTAGTAAAATAAAAAAAGAAAAAGAAAAAGGGATCACTTTATTTTCTAGGCGTGTAGAAATAAGTTTGCTATTTATTTATAGCGTTGTGACTTAGATTTTTGCAATAGAATAGAAAGGACAACGCAATGTGACGAGTGGAAGAAAATAATGAAAGAAAATTGCACTTTGTGGAGAATTAATTGCTAACTTCCCCGGAAGTTAGCCATAACGTACCTATTTTAATTCGGTATAAATAAATATTGGCGTCCCGTGTCACAACGAAAAATATTTCTTCTTTAAACAAAAAACACCAGTGCAATTGATAACGAAGGAAACATTCAGCGTTCCGAAAACCGAGCGAAATTGATAAAAAAAAAAAGTGTCACCAGCCGGCTCAGCGTGGGTTAACTCGGATTTTTTCTCAGGTGAACCTTGCAGCAACTCGAACTTTCTTTTAACCCTTTGCACTCCAATGGTAATTACTTTGGAGAAATGTACAATTCGGACTTTTTTTATATTATTTTATATTATCAAAATAATGCAAATTAACACAAGAAATACAAATAAATAAATTCGTAAACAGTGAAAATCCTTTTTTTTTTTTTTCAAGACAAACCTTTGGCTTTCCAGAAGTTTCACTCTTAATCTTATCAAAAAACGCTCGGAGTGCAAAGGGTTAATAACTTATTTATTCGAAAGGAAAAATTATAAGTAAGATTCAAGAGACGATATCTTTTATGTCTGTCCGAGAAGGACACTTGGAGTGCAACGCGAAACATCGTCCCTGCCTGTGTAAGGGGCCGGTCTACGAGTAAAACTGAAACGAGCCTAGAGAAATATCGCCGGTACAAACTAAACACAGCGTATCGTAAACGTGTGTGCTCTGCTCGCTTACAACTTTCTCCGTGGTAGCAAGCGGTAAAGTTTCAAGAGTTTCTGCAGATGGTCTAGGCGGGCGGTGGCACAAGTAAAAGTTACCTTTTCCAAGGTGCGTGTTGATGCTCATGTAACGCGCCGTGCCCGTCAGGCTTTTGTGTTCCCGATACGGTATGTGTTTGTTCGTCTCCAGGTCTATGTACTCTTTGGCCAATCCAAAATCGATTATGTGAATAATCTTCTCCCGTTTGGTCTTGCCCCGTCCTATCAGGAAGTTCTCTGGCTTGATGTCGCGGTAGATCAGATGTCGACTATGAACGTACTCTATCCTATGGAGCTGTAACCAAAGAATCCACGTATTACGAAGCGTCGAACGATTGTTAATTTAACTAGAAATTTGTACGGTAAACATTGTCGAGTGTTCCGTTCACTTTAACAAGTTTAAATTGCTCCGTTGTAGCAAGGTTAGAATTGGCGAATACCTCTGAGATCGAACGATCGGCAACTTACGAGTTGTGTGGCGATGTTGAGAACGGTCTTCAGGGTAAACCTCCTGCCGCAGAGATCGAACAGATCCTCGAGACTCGGGCCGAGAAGTTCCATCACAAGGGCGTTGTATTTCCCGCACGGCCCGAAATAGTATACCTCCGGTATACCCTCTGCTTACACGATTCAATGATATAGATCGATTAGTACAGGGGAATATATGGAGAAATTTTTCGGAAGGCTCGGAACAGGATTTTACTCACCATGTGTACCTAATAATTTGTAAAACCTATATTCTAAGTGTAGCTGCGGCGCCTTCGACCTCATTGGTTCCTGTAACAACGGAGAGGCACATGGATCTCGGGCTAACGGAAGATTTTCACGATCGAGCAAGATTTCTCGAAGGATAAGTTAGATTTTGATAGAAAAATTCAGCGAGGTTTCTCCTGAGGATTCGTTAGATTTGAATAAAAACGTTCGGCGAGGTTTCTCCGAGGATTTCTTAGATTTTAATGGAAAAGTTGAGCGAGGTTTCTCGAAGAATTTGTTAGACTTCAGTATCGAATGAAATTATCAACGACAAATTATCTATTAATCCTATATTATCGATGAATTGAAATTTTAAGAGACTCACCATTTTAACTGCTACATGTTCGTTATTGTAGAGGTTCTTTCCTGGAACAGAAGAAAGGGTAAAATGTCTATGCGTTGCGTCAAATCATTCGTATTAATTACATAGATCACCGACGACTTAAATGAGTGGACTCTTTTTACAAGTAGCAAACATACTCTAATGTATTCCACACATCGCGCGAACCTAAGTATTTAATTATCACTGTCGCGACAGTTTTGCGCAATTGCAGCTATCACGTCTGGGTGTGTCTCGAGACGTCGTCGATCTAAATAATTAATAGACGTGCAACTTCTCCACGGCTCTGTAGGAAATGACTAGAAACTTAGATAGAGAAGAAAATAATGAAAAAGAGGTACATTATGTCGAGTTTAATCTTGTCACGTTCGCAGACCGCCTCCATTTCGACGGTATCGCAATCGCACGATAATTCTCCATTTCGAGGGACGACTTCCTCCGTTGATTGCACTTCACGTGAGAAATTGGATTGGCCAGATTTGTGGGCTAACGTGTGCGGTCGTTGTGGTATTACGGTTACCGGTCATTAGCACTCACAAAGCCCCCCGCCGCCGGTTTTAAATTTATAATAATTCGATTTCCACGCAAATAGATCGAATCTACCTCAACAGGAGGGATGCACGCGTGCTCTCTGTCCCCCTCACTCGCTCATTTACTAACTCACACTCGCTCACCCACTTGTTAACTTATACTCACTCGTTAACTTACACTCACTCACTTACTCACTTGTTAATTTACACTCACTCACTCATTAACTTAAGCTCATAAACTTACTCGCTCACTCATTAACTTACACTCATTCACTCACTCACTCACTCATTAACTTAAACTCATAAACTTACTCACTCACTGATTCACTCACTCATTAACTTACACTCATTCACTCACTCACTCATTAACTTACACTCACTCACTCTCACTCATAAGCTCTCTCACTCACTCATTCACACACTCACTCACTTGCTCTCTCACTAACTCATTAACTTACACTTACTCACTCGCTCAATCTCTCCCTCTCTCTAACCTCAGTCCATCATATCCCCGAAGATCACGAAAGTGGGCATCGAAAACGTTCGTGCGAAGGCAAAATCCCGTCACCAGTCGAATTCGTATGGATCCTGACAAATATACCTCCCTCGGTGACCTTACTTCTCCGTCAACTTCGTGACGAGAATCGCGAAAGGGATAGAGAGAGAGAGCAAAGTCTCGAGGAAACTTTGCTCCGCCACTGCCTGTTGTTCGTCTGCTATCGCCAGGGAACAGAGACGTTCGAAAAGGAAAGTACTTTCGCCGCAGTCTGAATAACTCGAATGGAAACTTGGTCGCTAATTAAATAATTGTAACAGAGGTCTATAGAACAGCGGGTATAACAGTCAGCTCTCCCCCCTCGTTCCTCTCGACACGCGACCACACTTTTCCCACCGACAAAAACCTTTCAACGCGACCACCCGATTTTACCCAGAGAATATAATCCCCTCCCCGCGAGCTTCCAATTATTCACCGACATTAACCGCTGAGGTCATTTAGCCGAGGACCTGTACGGTTTAAATCCCTCCTCCCTCGAAACCACCAATTGGAACGGTGCACGGAGTTTCCAGGCGCCCATCTACCCGCTAATCGTAGCCAGGGTACAACTCCGACACGCTCGTCGACCAACGCGACGTCGATCATTATGTACAGAGAAGAGGAGACCGTGGAATTTAAAGAGCTCACACGAGAACCAAATGGATATATCAGGGGTGGCCATAGCGAGGCTCTCGCAGGCGAGCGGTTCCAGCTCTTATGCAAATAAAATGTACATATATGGTAAACTAAAACTGATCAATGTCCAAAAGTAATTGCTTTATTTCGTCGAAGGAAAATCTGTGGGTAAACTTTAAAGAACTGAACTGATTTTTCAGTGACCATTGTTTCTTTTGTTATCAAAGATAAATAAATGGCTCTTTCAAATATTCCATCCTGAAACGTGGCTTCCGAAGGTAGTGTAGCCGGGGCCACCCCTGGGATATATCGACAGTACTCGAATAACCCCAAGACTTTTCTCTAATCACCGATCTACACGGTTTCGGTAGACTCGAAATCTAAACTAGCAAGAATAGAAACTGTCTGAATCACGCGAACTAGCTCGATTAACCCTCTTAAACGATTACAGACACGTTACGTACGTACGTACAATTCGATAAACTGTCGTCGGTGTATGGGAGACTGACGAATCACGGTTGAATATGAATAAAAGAATAAACGTTTCGATTTATCTTATCGAACCTTGCGTAACAATAAACTCGAGAATACGTAATTGCACGATATGCGATACGGTAGGTGATGTACGAGTAGCGTATCGCGTTAATAGTCCCTCGTGTCCAACACCGAGGATTTATCTCGGGAATGTTCACGACTGAAAGGGTTAAGGACGACAATTGGAATCGCGGACTCGAATCGCGGTAGCGCGGATCGCGAATGAATTAAGAGAGAACGTGTAAGTTGACCAGCGTCTCGGTGAATCAGTGCCGGATCTTGCGCGCCAATCGAGACGTCAGGCTGTACGTGTGTATGTTCGGTGGAAGGGATACAGAGTCGACTCGTGAACTAGAGCATCCAGAATGACGAAACGAAATCTAGGATTTTACCGAGTGCTTACTTTAACACGTTCACCGCGGCACTATCGTCCTGTGCACAGCTCGTTTTTATGTTGCTAATTAGGAAAGTGGTCTAAGTGAAAAATGGAAAAAAAGTTGAATTTCTCGCTTATTTTGTGTCGCGTCGATTTTTCTATGGAGAAGATTTATGTTGTAAGAGGAAGTATTTTGTGAGATATTTTATTACATGATTAAGAAATATTTTTTAATAAATATTCACGAATCGTATCTTCGTATTTCTATTTTTAATAGCACTTTAATCATTTTGAAACTTTAACTAGTAATATAAATATTCATTATTATCCGGTATAATATAGTGCAAATAAACGTAGAGTAAATCACAAAAAAGTATTCTAGAAATTACCTGACAACTGAACTTAAAACTCGATACAAAGAAGTGTGTAATTCATTTCCAATCCAGAGATAAAATTCAGTAATGTCTCCACAAGTGTCAGTCCGCAAGGATCTGACCTGACACTTGTAGAGTCAGGGACTACGTTTTCGAGCCTCGCGCCCGCCTGTTATTTATTACCATAATTCTAACAGACAGCGAATAAAAGATAAGGATGAAACGTGAGTCGAGGCAACCAAGCGATTTAAATACCAACTTTTTTAATTTTACGTTTTTTTATCCCGAAATTTTTCTTAACATATTGATGAGATTTTTCTTATGAAAATGGCATCAAACACGACATAATTTGAACATTTACTTATTAACACGTTTACTGTCACGCCAAATATTTCACTGTTTGAGATACAACAGACGCCCTGCATTACATTACATAGAGTCGGCCTACCGTTTGACTGACACTTGTAGAATCGGCCCTACATTTTTTTTACGTGGAGGTAGGCCGACATTAAATTAATTACTCAATAAGTATTAATAAGTAAATGTTGTTCAAATTATATCGTGTTTGATCTCATTTTGCAAGCACTGCACATTCACTAAAACCGTCCAGCTCATAAGAATTTGTAAGCTAGATCTCGCTTATACTGTTAGTTGACTGCACTATTGATGGAAATACAAATGAGTACTATAGCCCTGAGCATTCTTTTTTCTTCGGTAATACCAGAGTTCTAAGACGTTTAACGTTTGCGCTGGTGTTCCGTACGACAAAAGTTATTTTTCATAGCTGCAATGGTTGGGCTCGCGTGGAGTGTACGGATCAAGAAAATATCGGTGCCTAAATAAAAGTTCTATTCTATTTTTAAATGATTTTTACTAACATTATCTATTACTCAGACCTTAAAATCTACCAACTAAGTAGCTGGCCGGTACTGTACGACAATTTTTCGTTCGCCGCAAATTACAACTTTTTTATTCCTACGAATGATTTATCTTTGTGAGAAAATTTAAGAAAATCCATTTGTCCCCTTTTATCAAGCACCCTCTGTACTACAAATTACTTTTTTCAAATTTCATTTTTACCAACATTAGCCCAAGTTGTAGTACAAAAACTTAGAGTGGCCGGTACTACACGACTCTCCCCTAGATATTTGATTGTTTTGACGCATTGAGTTCGCCAGTATGCCAGTTGCACATTTGTAGGATAAAATATAAAAATAGGCGAAAAAATGTCCGAGACTCATTTATCCGGTATCGTCAAATAGGAAAGTCCTAAAAAAAAAAGTGTTAAACATACGAATGAGAATGTATAATAAATAAAATTAAACTATACTTGACGTAGAGTTAATTGAACTTTTGCCTCCATATATCTTATCGAGACACTTGAAACATTTTAATTACCAGTTTTACGATTTCCACGTATTTTTTTCCTCCGACTATACACGATCTGCAGGCTAGTCGCGGCACGTGCTGCACGTGACGTTGTCATACACGCGCGGATACAGCCAGATAGCTGTATTTTCCAGCTTCGAATCGTGATAATTGAAAGGAAAATAAAAAACGAAAAAACCCATCGATATGCCTTTAGAAATTCGTTATTGATATTTTCGAATTCCTCCATGTTCGTTCCAATTCCCTTCGATTTATTATAATTGAAAGCAAAGAAAAAAAGAAAAAACCCACCGATATGCCTTCAGAAATTCGTCATTAATATTTTCTAATTCCATTTTCGTTCCGGTTTATTATAATTGAAAGCAGCGAAAAAAGGAAAATACTCAGGGCTATTGGCGTGCCTTTAAAAATTCTTCATCAGTATTTTCTAATTCCATTTTCGGTTCAATTTCCTTCGATTTATTGTAATCGAAAGCAACGAAAAAAAGAAAAAACCCAAGGCTATCGATGTGCCTTTAGAAATTAGTCATTAATATTTTCTAATTCCTCCATTTTCATTCTGATTCCCTTCGAATCGTGATAATTGGAAGGAAAAGAAAAAAAACCCAGGGCTATCGATATGCCTTCAGAAATTCCTCGTTAAC